AGGGCAGGGGGGTGAGCAGCAGCCATCGCGCCCCGGGGCCGCCGAGCGACTCAGCCGCGAGCACGAGGGGCCTTGAGCTGCGCGGGGCACCTCGTCCGGGGCCAGCACTGCCCCCTGCTCTGAGGAGAGAGGTGAGTTTGCACACGCAGCCCTGAACCCCAACGTTACATAAAAACACTATTATTGTGCAAGAGAACTTAATGGGATTTTTCAGGGAGGGGGACAAGGGAACTGGAGCAGCACCGAGGCAAAACCTCGCTGCTTGCCAAATGCCCATGCTCCTCTGCACAGCCAAGAGTCACGCAAGGCAGAGCAGAACAAAGGGGCAGGAATGTTCTCTGGGCTGCAGGAGCTCCAGCCTAACAAGCTGCAATGAGAAACACAATGGCAGCAGCTCTCCCTTAGCTCCCCTTTCCAAAACCACCCTTACACAGAGCAACAAAGTGCATTTTATCATACAAAACAATTCTGTAAGGGACTGCACATTTTCACCACTGACTGGATAAATGACCTACCACTAGCAAGGCATCTGTCCAACACATTCAAACTGTACAAACATGCAGAACCCTCCCCTCTGCTTACCAACCACCAACTTCATCCAGGCTTCAGAGAAGCAGTGCTTTTGGTACCTGAGCGTTATGTATTGCATCCACACGTCGTGGCTGCAGCGTGCGGTGTCCTGTTCGGTCTGTGAAGAGGCCATGAGCACTGAACAACAGCGCAGGTTCTGGTGTCTTAGACGGTACCACAAGCTGCCTAAGGAAAAACACACTAACATGTATGGTGCATTACCAATAAGTGGTGGTAAGAACAACAGAATGTGAACCTTAGCAAAGTTGGTGGGCCTTGTGGATGTCACAAGCAGGAATTCATTGCCAAGAGGCAATGCTGAGCTTTAGAACGAGTGCAGGAAGGATATTTTAAGCTAGTAATTTACAGGTAATGATAAAGAGCTCAGTTTCTCTCCCTATCAAAGATGAGTGAGAAATTAATTCATTAACCTATGTTCTCTCAAGAAGAAGCTCCGGGTACTTGAAGGGCTGGTAAAAGACATATGAAGACCCAGCTGCTGGTCAGAGTAAATTAGAATGATTTATTCTTAGTAGTATTTTATTATTATTGTCATCAAGTTATTTGTAATATTGAAAGCGTCATTAAATTAAGATACTAAGGCCTTATCCACAATAGCAATTAATTCGTTACTTGTTTTCAAATTAAGACAATTTCTTTTTCTAGCAGATATGCTGCTGCTAGAGTAGCTCAGACATAGTTATTTGTGTTCTGCTGCTGATTAAAGCTGGTGACTAATGATCCGTTATGGCCTAAAAAATGAGACGTTAAAAAGAAGTTAACTTGTTTCTTAAAAGCCGCTCAAGCAAAGCCACACTTTGAACATGCCTGGTTGGAGCTGGAGATCCCACCACAGGAGTTCAAGCTGCTACAAAAGGGAAAAAGATCAGGTCAGGATGGACTGGGAGCACTAAAGTGACTGGAAAAGCTTAGAAGGGTAAATATGCATCCTCAGAAGAAAAGTGAAGTAGAAGAACACAGAAAGAACCCTCACTCTGAAGCTTGAAGCTGCCGATTGCAACAAAGGAGAACCAAACTCTCAAAGAAAGAACTTACAGTACGAACTCATGTAATGCTCTTATGGATATTCTAAAATTCCAGATTGCTACATATTTCTTAGTTTTAACCCACAATTTGTGTGCTAATAATTCCTTTGGTTTTGGCTGAATATTGTTTTAGGTTGATTGTACTGCATGATCACTGACAGAGGAAATACAGTGTTTGGTGGACCAAATCCAAGCAGAAAGCTTCAGTGCAAGATGCAGATCACTTGTGCAGATCACTACACCTGGAGTGACCCAAGCTATTCTATTATATGTAGTCAAATCTTTGAATCCATGGCCAATTCTAGTAACTGCTGGTATATAACAAAATCAAGAAAACACCTCAGCTGTAATTCATTCAGAATTGTTTGTATGCCTAGAGCCTAGCAGAGACTCTTCACAACAGAAACATGCTGAAGCTGAATGGTTCACGGGCTAGGACGATCCTTTTCAAGGACTCGCTGAGGTTGAAGGATACCTCTGGAGATCATCTAGATCAACTTCCTTCTCAAGCAGGTTTATCATGTGTAGGCATGTGTCCAGATGGTTTCTGAGCATCTCTTCAAGGAAGGAGATTCTGCAACCTCCTCTGAACAATTTGTTCCAGTGCTCAGCCCTCACAGTAAAGAGGTTTTTCTTATGTTCAGACCAAATTTCCTTTTCAACTGCAGCGGACTGAATTAGATCCTTTTCACAGGGCAGCTGCAAAAGCCAAGGAATGATCTACTTGCACTCAGAAATCTACCTCAGAGACTACCAGCCAACAGGAATTGTTGCCTCCAAGGGATCCAACCTGGGATCTTTGCCATGTCATCCATAGCTCCTCTGGGGAGGGCAGCACTGATCTCCAGCCTGTTTGGAAGACAATGAGAAGAGGGGAGCACATCATGGGAGATGTGCTTCATGACAGGATGGCTCCTCTCTGCGAATCAAGAACATGCCACTCGAGACTCCAGACCCCTTTTTAAAAACACAGCAAGCTTTCTGGTTGGACACAGGGCAACATCAGGCAGAAGCCAAGACAGCCTCAAGGCAAGGTCAGAGCCCAGGTCTGAAATAAAACTCCACAGGCTGTTACAGTAAATGACTTTTATTTAAAAAAATGAAATAACCGTGAACATATTAACAGGCCTGCAGGTGGCACTACAGTACAGCTGGATATAAGGTAGATATATTTCCCCATGTACCCAGACAATGAAATCCATCGGTGCTGACATTAGTAAATTCTGAATACGGTTCTATCAAGCAGGAACGTTTTACTTAAAATAGCTCTGGACAAAGTTGATACTGAAAATTAAATTTTCCTTCACTTTTGAAAAGGATACAGGTCTTGAACTAGCACTGGCATTGGGTGAACTATTGCCTGTGGTTACCAGTGCAGGGAGAGATGCACAACATCTCCACATGAGAACAGAGTTCATATTCCTTCTTCCTTCTCGTTTTAAGGAAGCTGGGAGGGACAGGGTAGAAAAGAGGGGCAAGGAATATGGGCAAGGGAGGTGGGGTGTCAAATTCTATTCTCTCTCCTTTGGCTGCTTTTGTGCTATTTTGGACTGCTTTCTAAAAATCACTTCTTGATTTTATTGAAAGGAAGACTAAATGTAATGCGCCTTTCCTTGGAAATCCAGGAACAGTTGTGGTATTTCAAAAATACTAAAAATATCTACTTTCATGAAATATTAACTGTTTCACTACAAACCTAGTTTTTCACTAAATACACAATTCTCCTATTTCAGGAGTCTCCTGGGGGGAAGGAAAAAAAAAGTGGGTTCTCCCTTTATTTCTGCAACTCTACAGTGTATAGAGAAATGGCTACAAGAAGGGGAGTGCAGAGAATAGCTTTATCATTTTCCTTGGCCCGTATTTCACATGGGAACATTGCTTAAATTTCTGCAATTTGGCTACTGCTGGTCACACTCCTTCAGCAGCTATCAACTAATCTGCAGTAGGACAACCCACCTCCAGCGTATTCCTTCTAACTCTGTGGAGACTAACTAGGCATGAGGAAAAAAAAACATCCACACTCTTTATACCATTTCTAATCAAATTATGCAGGAACACCTTGCAGTTTCCTCATTATTCCAATTTGCAAAAGGCCACAGGAAAGGGACATGGCACCTCTCATTAGAATCTGGAATTCTACATGTAACAGTGCGACCTTCCTCTAGGCCTTCAGTGTTGAGGCAGCATAAAAAACAGTGGCTGAAGAGTGGGCGTAATACTGACCACACCAGCTCTTAGTGAGAAGCCTCTGCTCCTGCAGAGGCAGTCATGTGCAGTCCCTGTATATACTGTGAGCAAAAGGCTTACTTCACAGGGGATTTGGAATTAGCAACTCCTACGATCTAGCTAGTTTGGATTCATGAGCTTTCAGTGTGCCAACAGCATCTTTCACTGCATGGTAGATAATGTTCTTCACCTGGAACAAGAAAAAAAAAATCAGCACCTCCAGACTAATGAGAAAAGTCTTCCATAGCTTGCATAACAATCAGTGTTGGTAGTTAAATTCATAATAGCTGGGAAGTATATATGAAGAGTAAAGTCACTTTTCTGTGAGTGCCTAGGAAAAAGTACACTATTAAGTCATTGATACAGATTTACTTTGAAAGAATGTGTGATGAGTTAGTGGCTCAGATTCATATGAATCTGGCTCCCAGGAGGAGAAAGAAAATAATACAGTTTAACCCTAAGTTGAAAGAATGCAATAAATTATCATGTTGTCTTCCTGTGCAGTCTAAAGACTCCAATTTGTGCGAATTTTGTTTATAGTAAATTTTTGTTGACTTCTCTGAAAGAATTAATATGGCAAATTCTTACATTCTTAGGTGATATACTTAAGGATGGTTACACTGAATAAAAACTTGCTTGCAAGAAAAGCCATCTTTGCAGATGTCCATCCCTCCATTTTACATGCATATAGTTACTAATACACAAAAAAACGCTGCAGGAGAGTTTGCAAACTAAACAG